GCGTCTCTCTTTAAGGTGCGAGCGTGCTCGTTATACCATGTTGTCGAACTGTTTTCCTTAAACTTCATTAAGCGTAAAGAAGCAACCGTATCTAAAGTGCTAGAAAAGAGAGACACAATAGTTTCTGTTACACCATCAAGTGTTTCTGAGCTATTGGATATGCTGAGGAATTGAGACAATTCAGGAAGATTATTTACAAAGCAGTCTTTTGTGGTAGAAGTGATGCTTCTACCATATTTGTAACAAGGAGTTGAATTTGCAGCTTTAGCTATTTGGAGTTTACACGAGACTAGATAATGATCCAAGATGTCATCACTGTGCTGCAGAATGTCAACACCATTAACATCAATTCCATGTGACAGTATTAAATCTAAAGTATGATTACGACAATGAGTAGGCCCTGACACTTGTGGTCGCCGTGATTTTGCCAAGTAAGACATGTTCCTGGATCAACATTACTGTCCAAAAATATAGACCTAACCCAATGCCTAACCCTACCCATAATGTATTCCTAAAATCAGAGGGAAATGAGTGGTGAATAACAAGGGTGTAGAAGCATCTAACCCTGATTGTAAGCCTAAAACTGACATTTCTTGAAAACGTATCCCTCAATTCTGATTTGTTGATTGGAATGTTGTTCCAGGATCAACAAGGATGTGGTCAGACGAAGGCCTGCTTGGGCTGATACGCGTTGGTGTTTTTTAATATGTAGCCCCGTCTTACAATAAAGGCTTTTTATATTTTTTGTCTGCTATGTGAGTGCCTGGACGTGGATTTTTTTGTTTTTTGCAACGGGATCCACTTTTTGTTTTTGACATTTTGTTCCCTCTCTGGAGCACCCATAGTCTCACTTGTGAGTACCTGATGCGCCCCTGGTCAAGACTTTTTTCTTTGACTATTATCCAAAGGACATTTGGGGATTGTCCGGACTGGGAGAAGCTCCATTCCTAATTTTGACTTTTGGAATGTTTTTGGACTCATTTGTTTTGGAAAATGCAACTAAACCGTTTTTTTTATACCAAAGACAAGGGCTTGGATATTATTGTTCAGGATACACTGTTGGATCAAACACCTACATTGGACAATACAGATGCACGTAAGTTGTATTTGGATTTGAGAAAATGTATGGAAAAAGATCTGACGTTACAACTACACTTGATTACTTTATTGGATTTATTGGAGAGCAGAAAGGATTCCAAGAGGTCTAAGGATAAAGACATTTCCCTCTTTTGGATTAGATAATGTTGAGTTCAAGCAAAAATGGGATGCCATCCTCAATAAGTGTTCTTTAGATTTGATTTTGCTGTTGATAGAAGAGGCTAAGAAGCAAAAGGGAATTTTACAGGAAGAAATACAGAAGGTTAAGATAAAATTGGAACAGCTTGAATCCGAAGAAAAACGATTATCTTTTGAGAATAAATTGCAAGATGATATGGCCAAATTATCAATGAAATTAAAACAAATGAAATTGGCAAAATTCAAAAGGGACCAAGATGACTATAGTACTGTTATGTACTATTATGTACTGTTACTGTTATAGTATTGAGGTACTGTTTATGATTGGGGAAGAACACGCTTTGTTAAACAAAGAAGTAGAAGATCTGTCTCATTCAGCTTGCCTAGCACTGACGATGAAACTGACGGAGATAACCAACGTTCTGAGGGCTGTAGCTCAACTCAAGGAAATACAGCACATAATCCTACTGATTTTTTAGAGTACCATTCCAGATCTCAAAGGTACACCAAAAGAGGAAGACACGAAGGGGC